GCATTTTTTTTTAATCTTTGAGTTTGCATATTTTTTATATTTTTATTTCCCTCTTTTTTTTTTCTTTTTGAAAAATTGAATATGTGAACTATTTTTTTTATTTTCTCCTCCCCCTTCTTCTTTTTTTTTTTTTATATAAGAGATAATTAACAAAATTAAACATAAAGCTAATAATGGTAAAAATAGATCCAAATAAACATGACAATAAAGAAAAATAAAAGTAAAAATAAATAAATAAAAAAAATAAAAATATTGAAAAATATAACCCGGATTTTGAGTTACGACAATTGAAACTAGTACATTAATATTAAATTAGTCTACTTATTATTTAAAAATAACATTACTATCCCATCAATTGTAAAAACTTACAAACCCGTAAATTGAACAAAACTCATTCAACAAACCCTACAAATTTATCACAACCTATTGAACAAACCTAGTAAATATTAACCTAATTCCTATAACATCATATTTAACAACCAACAAGCAAACTAACATCACAATCATAGCAATCAAATAACCAAAACAATGGTTACACCAATAATTTTTCTTCTCTATGTCTTCATTATTATTGGGAATCTTCTTTATTAAAACTTGATTTTTCTCTTAACGGATGCTCATTCTCTACAATAAGCCTCTTTTTAGTATACTTCAATGCATTAATTACATTTCTTGCTCTTCCTCTAACCTATAGGATCTTGAAATTGAAAAATAATTGCATTTTTATTGCAATCTTCTATATTGAATTCGAGGCATGCAAAAAACCTCATATTTGAATTATTATCACTTCATAAGGTCTATCAAGGAGTCGGGAGTTCGCATTTGCGGTATCTTATTGGTCAATCATTAAGATAATCATGCTCGGGTTTTTGAATGAACAATGAAGAAATATTTTTCTCATTAAAGGTTTTTGCATTTGATGATTTAGAAGATGACAAAGAATGAGAAGCCATTAATTCTCTAAATCACAATCAAAATTTGAAGAAGATAACAATAGTTAAAGAGACCTAACTCACTCTTTTTACTCCTAACTCATTTCAATTGCTCAAATACCTAACCGAAATATCTCAATTAAAGTCGAAATACAAAAAAACCTAACCCTTAATTCACTGTCTCATGAACCATAACTAGTCTCCCGTAATCTCACTATGTGATAGGCATTAGATTCCATTTGGTAATTGAAAGCCTAATCTACCTTTGTCTCTTGCAATCTCTCTCTCCCCCATTTTCAATTTTCAATTGTAATAGAAAGGGATTAAGACAAAAGACATGTCCGTTCAATTACTCTCTATAACGTTTTAATTTTTTAAATAAAATTAGAATGTTTAAATAGAGTCTTTTAAGCATTTTCTACGGTTGATTGTTACACATAATAAATCTTAGATAACTTATATCATATTTTTTCAATCTTTAAAATTTTGGGATTCAAATTATGTAATTTGATATTAAAAACTTGAAATTAACAAATTGCAATAGAATGTGAGTAATTTTAGCCATTAAGCCATTCTCAATATAATTCAATATGCATCGAGAATATTAGATATGTTATATAGTTTTTGAAATTTTTATTACCTTTTTATTTTAGTTTTTGGATATAATTTTGTTTTTCATTTTAATTTTCACTCAATAAAAAAATAATAATAATCGAACATTTTTTACAAAGTTGAAGAAAAGCTATAAAATTATGCAAATTTTAGATTAAACATTTTTTCATGTGTACGAGATTTATTACCATTCTTGCATAAACATAATAAAAATTATTATAATGTATACGTCAACACATGAAGAAACTTATGCTAATATAATCAAATTGCTAAACAATTGATCATATAAGAATAATTGAATGACCATAATTGGACCAATTTTACAATACAGAGACATATGATTCGTTGTCATCGTGATTTTCTTGCTCCATATATTATCATTTTATGTTAAAAATGCGATAATATATTTAAGATTAGATTGAAAGGCCACGATCAACTAAAATTTGTCAAAAATAAAAAATAAAAAATTCTTGACTGGCCATTTCTGAACAAGTAACTCACGGTACTAAATATTAAATTAAAAGTATTGATAAAAATGAAGACAAAAAAAAAACAGAAACTACGAAAATTAAATATTTTGATCATCAAACGGAGCATGAAAAGAAAAGGGACCTTTTTTCTTTTTACCCACAGTAGAACTCAAAAAGGTCGGATAACAAATCATCTGAAAATTGAAAGGTATACATAGTACAAAATGAAAATAGCCTTCCCATAGGAAAGTCAATTAAATAATTTGTGAGTTTCAATGCAACGGTTAGCTTCACACACCCTTCGATGATTGAACCTTTGCAGCTGTATCATTGGTCTGCTTGCCTCACCTAATCATGCACTTTACTCCTTGATCTGCCCAACTAATTAATTTTTTATTAATAATTTGCTTGCAACAAAATCAGTGCCCCAAAATCCAGCAAACGTGGACGCAACAGCGTAGTCCCTCAGTACTGAATAATATCTTTTTTTCATAAATAATTATCGTGAAATTTGACTTCAAACATCATATCAAATAACCTGGCAAAACGTGGCAGCTTCAGTTATGAGCTAAATGCACACGTATCACCATCTAAAAACAAGTGTCCTGTTAAATTCATTAAGCTTTATGACATGTTTCACTATCTTTTTGGTTTTACTATAATGATGACATATTATCTAGATGGGTAATAAATAATTTTTTAGAATTTTATTTGTCAGAATCAAATTTAAAGTTTCGTGATTAAAAAATTATATTAAATTATCTTTCTCTTTTCCAAAAATTTTTTATACAAAAAAAAGCATGTCTCTTTAATTATCCAACCAACCCCTCCCTACACACAGTTTTGATTATGATTATTATTTGTAATTAACGCTAGCAATCTCTTGTGTTTCATTCGGGGAGAGAATTGTAGCTCGTTTGAGCTGTAAAACCAAATTACAGTTCAGTTACGAAGATGGGATCCATTGAAACGATGTCGTAGAGCTTGAGAGATGGAGTTATATACAAACAGCGTTCAGCGTGACAATATTCTGTCAAGCCGACAAAAAACCTTTAATTTTAAGGATGTAGGAGCGTCCCTGACAACATGAATTTATCAATGGACTCAAAAGACAGTTTTGTCCATTTCCTTACGACCAAGAAGAATTGCTCTTTTTTTTTTTTTTTTTTTGGTTGGCAAAATTGTATTAACATCCTTCTTGTGTATTACTTTCTTTTTTACATTTACAAGCAACGTGATATATATCCTTATATGTTATATTCTTTTTTTTTTTTTTGGATAAAGATGTGACAACTTTTTTTATATATGCTTATTATTAATAGTAATTAAATTATAACTAAGTGGCTTCATTTCATAGTTAATAACTAGAATATACAAATCCTTTTTCAAATAACATGTATAGGTTTTTTTTTTTTTTTTTTTACCAAAATCAGTTTTTTCTTTATTTTTTAAAGATATCCTATTACTAATAAACAATAAAAATGAAAAATTAATTCAAATAATAATCAAATAAAACTTTAATTCAAAATATTTAGTATCATAAAAAAAATCATTTATAACAAAATATATTATTTTTATTGTCAAATTTTTATACATGTGTGTCACTTATTATACTAGATGGTGAAAAACAGTTGAAATTGGACCAAGATCCAAAAAAAACTATTTTTAAAAAATCACAATGAACCATTATAGAAAAAAAATCACAATAAGCCTTAGAGGAAAAAACAACAGTGAAGGAAGATATTAGAATAATGTAAATATAAAATCTTTGAGCATTGTTTGCAGATGAAAAGAAGAGAAAATTAAAGAAAAGAAAAGAAAAGAGGAAAAAAAGAAAAAGAATGGAGGGTAGTATTGTGAAACGGAAATTTGAGAGTTGTGGGTGGCAGAATAAAAGCATAAAAAAGGCTCAACTGTTAAAGCGGTCAAGAGAATAGTCATTGCAACTTGACAAAATTAAGATGGGTTACAGAATGTCTCAGAAAATTCAGGTTCTTCTGCTATGATTTTGAAATGTTTATCACTCTACAAATTAAACTCTCCGGGTCAACTTGTCTCTAGCTAAACCGAGCCAACTGTATATTCCATATTCAAAAAAAGCCAATTAACTCGGGGAAAGGAATCATTATTAACCACAAAAGCTGAGTCAAACCAAACCAAATTAAAAAAAAAAAAAAAGGCTGTGTCTCTGTATGAATATATAGACAAGACCATATGGTAACCTATGGTTGATCTGGAATTTAAAGAGTTTTATTTTATTTTTAAATTTTATAAGTTTAAATCCCCATATATTAATCCAAGTTGAGTTGAATTTTTTTTTTTCTAATTGCTTAAATTAATTTTTTAATAATTTTAAAAATATACCTTTTCATTGATTTGATGTATTCATAAGATTTAAATTTTTTTTAATACTAATATTTAAAGATTTGTATGTATGCATAAACTGAACTTGAGAAACTTCTATTATCAAAAGAAAAAAAATAAAAATAAAGACTTATGGTAATTAGCATTTTTGTTTTTTCAACCAGGCATTAGAGTAATCTAACAGTAGGGTATAAATTATACTATATATTACTGTTTACTAGCTAGGGTCAATTACTAGGCGTATTTATTACAAACAACGTCTAAAACCTCAAGTGGGGTCAAAGATTTAACCATAGATTAGAACTAGGGTTAAAAACGCAAGTGGGTTAAGGTTAAGAAGCACAACCACAAAACCCAGATTTTTATTTATCAACAGTCATTGCTGCTCATCATCATCATCATCATCATCATCATCGTCAAGCAACAACATCCTTGGCTTAGCTCCCTTTCTCCCCAAAATCTTCACAGCACCTTTCTCCTAAGAAGAATCCCATCATCCATTTCCCCTAGCATAGTCCACCACCAACCTTTTTTTTTAAAAAAAAAACCCTAACTTTATAAACCCTCTTCACATCTTCATAAATTATTTTCGTTTCTATTTTAATACTTAAATGTTTGAGCAATGGACATAACCCCAACAACAACAACAACCACCCCCACCAACACCAACACCAACACCAACAATAACACAAACACCCCAACTCCAAAATCTCCAGAGGTAGACACTGAAACACCAATTCGGATCCTTCAAACAAAGCCTTTGTCTTCCACCAACGGTGTCCTCAAACGCCACCCTCCACACCACCACCTCCACCATCATTTTTCACCTCCGCCAATACTCATAACCTACAAAGAATGTCTCAAGAACCATGCTGCCACCATAGGTGGCCATGCTGTAGATGGTTGTGGAGAATTCATGTCTTCTCCGACCGCCACTCACACTGACCCAACTTCTTTAAAATGTGCTGCTTGTGGCTGCCATCGCAACTTCCACCGTCGTGACCCTGAAGATTCCCCTCCTCACACCACCGCTACAACAACCATCGAGTACCAACCTCACCACCGTCACCATCCACCACCACCACAAGCTCAACCTCAGCATAATAGAAGCCCCAATTCAGCTTCTCCTCCTCCGATCTCATCCTCTTACTATCCTTCAGCTCCACACATGCTGCTAGCACTCTCCGGTGGCGTATCGGGTTTGAATGAGAATGCGAATATAAATGTTCCTCCACCAGCTGGTTGTTCGCCGCGAAAGCGATTTAGGACAAAGTTCAGCCAGAGCCAGAAAGAGAGAATGCACCAGTTTGCAGAGAGAGTTGGATGGAAGATGCAAAAAAGAGATGAAGATTTGGTTCAAGAGTTTTGCACTGAAGTTGGGGTTGATAAAAGTGTGTTAAAGGTTTGGATGCATAACAACAAGAACAGCTTTGGTAAGAAAGAACACCTTAATGAGAACAACAATAATGATATTATTAGGAGCAGTAATCTGGAAAACTCCCACAACAACAATGAGCTCAACAACAATAATAGCACTGAAGGCTTGAATCATCATAACAACCATCACCACTTTGAGAATGATAGTCATGTTGCACATGTTGGGACTAATGGGTCTTCTTCATCTTCTTAAAATTTGATCTGGGATGGGATTGTTGTTGTTTTTGATGATGACGATGATGCTAATAATTGTTAGCTAGATAGAGAGATCATCAGTAAGGATGGTATTAGTAGTTAATTTCTTTCTTTAATTCTCCTCTTCTTTACAATTTTCTGATTTTTGTTTTTAGTTTTAATTAATGATGATCAATGTCATTATGTTGAGAATAGCATGGGAGAGATTTGATCCAAATTAAGGGAAAATTTATTCACAGCTATTTTATCTAATTTTGGCTCATCATCATCATCATCATTTACTAATTTTGTTTAGTTGTTTTTGCTAGTTCCTTGTTAGCTTTATTTTCCCTGTTCTTGGCATATGTGGGACTTCGTTTTTCTTTCAACGGACCAATCACTTCTTTCTTTTCCTCAGGTAATAAGTAGAACCGTTAAGCAACTGAAGCTTTGCTTAAGTGAAGGTAGAGAGTTTTAATTTCTGAATCTAATGTCTGTTCAGTTCAGTACAGTTCAGAGAGAGAGGTTTAGTGACTAGAGAGAGAGGTTTAGAGAGAGACAATGAAAGAGGGAGAAGCGATTCTTCTTTATCTCGTGTCTGTGAGAAAGGAGCAGAAAGTAGTGTAACAGGGATTGGGGCGGTTACATATTATTCTAACATATCTCATTAGCGCTATTTAGTACTTTACCTAGTTCTTATTTTAGGAATCCTGTATTTAATTAGGAATGCATTATTCTCATGTTCTTCCCAATGATCAGTCAATTATTTTAATCAGATTTTGGATTATAGGGTTGTATATGTTTATTGCCATGAAAAAAAAAAAAAAAAGTTGGAGGCTCTAGTGGTTCTGTAAGGCTATATTCTATAAGGTTGTTTTTATTAAGGAAACATGTTTAACTATGCTCAATTTATTATTGCAAAGTTGGAATCTTGCTGTTTGATAGCATTATTCTTCTGTTACGATCTGCGTTTAGCGTTGGATGTTTGGATAATGTAATGTAGAGATTAGAAATGGTGTGCTATTGCTTAATCCCAAGTGAAGTTCAATTGATTTGATGGGGATTAATTAATCAGTTGGATCATATTGGAGACAAGCTAACCTCTCTACTTTATGCAATATTTATACCTCACTTGCCTTTTAAGGGAGGCAGATATAATAATTACTGTTATTACAATTATTAAAATGGGAGATGATGACGAAATTAGTACTTAAATGTTAGACTGTCTTGTCTAGAACCTCTCACTTGGGTTGTTTTGATTTGGTCATTGATGAAGTCAGTAATCTTGTTTTGTGGGGCCACGTCTTGTGGCCAAGTCTAGGATAAACTGCCCCGAGCATGGGCGGTTCCTGTAGTCCAAACCTTAAAGACCAAAGGCATGGGTGCACAACCACAATTTGGAAATAAAGTAGGGTTTCAATCTAGAAGTAGTTTAATAAACTATACAACCTCTCGGCCTTGAGTTGATAATACTAAAATAATAAAAAATAAAAAAATCTAATTTATAATTAATAAATATTTTAAATATAAATTTAAAATATATCTTAGTGAGGGATTCAAAACGCTATTTGAAATTAAAAAAGTCAATTCTAATAAAGCAAAATAAAATAAATATTGTACTAAATTAAGTATTGAATAAAATTTAAAAAGAAAATACAAAATAAAGCGATAAAAGAACATCCCTTATATTAAGGAAATATGAACGGTAAACAAAGAATATATATATATATATATATATATATATATATATATATATATATATATAATGATCAATTTGTATTGTGCTTTGTTATAGGATTTTATGTTTGAGTATAATAGGTGTTTCGGATGTAATAAATCAAATGAGATTGGCTTTAAGAGTTTGTGCTTTAAAATAATATTTTGTACAAATAATTTGTTTTTCAAGCAAATACTAATACTAATTATTCTAAATTTGATATCATAAAATATATATATATATCATACGTTTTCTTTTTTCTATTGAAAAGAACATTTGTAGTGGATGTACCAAATTTACTTCAACGGTATTGTTATTAATAAGAGGGAGTGAGCTTTTGACTTAATTTTTTTTTTTTTTAAAAATAGCAAATATATGATACATTAACATTTATTTGTAATCAATTGAAGGCACGACCTTAATACATACAAGGAAATCACACTACAAGAAAATAGGTAAATTAGTAACGAGACTTTAGCGACGGATCATTGCCATTTACCTACTTCATAGCAATTGAATAGCAATGAAATAAAACATAAATCATTTAGTAATTGATCAGTCATGGTTTTGAGAAGAAAAATTAACAACCGAGTGGTTTCCGTCGCTATGGGGTGCGAGTACGGTGGACTACAAGAGAATTTAGCGACGAATACAAATTTCGTCGCTAAACGCAAGCATTGGCCTAACGACGGAGCGATCCGTTGCTAATCCGTGACAAATAGCATTTCATAGGTAATTGCACAAAATTTGTAAACAATATTAGTGATTGTAGAAATTTCAAATTACGGATGAGATATGACTGTTCGACCGTTAATTAATGACATAATAACGATGGAAAAGTGTTTGTCACAAATTTAGGTAAACTTCTCAAGCCTTTTTGACAATTCGAGTGGACATTTGAAATTCAAATTTGGAACGGATACTTATTTTTGTCACTACTTAATGATGGAATCGCACCCATCGCTAATCCTAAATTACTTTAACTTTCAATCTCTTTCTCTTCCCCTATTCCCCCTCCCCCTTCCCTCTCTTTGATCATTGCCACCACCCCCAATAGCCCCTAACCATTACCCCACACCACCGTAGTCCTTCCTTAGCCCACTCAATCCGGCAAGGCATAATTTTCTCCTCAAGATCCGTCGCTAGTCTCTTTTCTCCCTCCTCTCCTTTGGTAATTTATTCTCTCTCTCTAGATATTTTATTTTTTCAATTAGATTAATGTAGTGAGTTATTAGGTTAATTTTGTTTATTGTTAGTTATTCTTTATTAATTAGTAGGATAACATTTTGTTAATTAATTGTTAATTTGATAGTTTTTTTTTAGTGTTTTTGTTAATTGTTATGATAATATTAATTGTTAATTTGTTATTTTTTTATTGTCTTTGTTAATTGTTAGGTTAGTATTAATTTTTAATTTGTTTTTTTAATAATTTTATTATTTTTTAGGTTAATATTAATTGTTAATTTTTTATTTTGTTAAATTTTTTATTGTTATTTTATTTTATTTTTAGGTTAATATTAATTATTTATTTTTTTTATTTTTTTTTGTTAATTGTTAGGTTAATATTAATTGTTAATTTTTTTTTGTTATTTTAAAATATAATTAATATTTCAATTAGGATTAATATTGCAATTAGTTAGGATTAATATAAGTAAGTTAATTTGATTTAGAATTAATTTAATTATTATTATTTGAATTGATTGATTGATTTTTAATATTAGTTATAATCCAAAAAGTTAAATAAATGAAATTTAATATTTAATTAGTTTTGAATTAGGGTTAATTTAAATATGCTTTTTTTTAATTAGGTTTCGATATTTAAAATTTAATGAATGTTTGAATTAGAAATAATTTTATTACCTTTAGTTGAAATTATTAGTAAATTAATTAGATAAATTTTGATTATAATATTGTAATTTTTTAATTATTATCCACATTTAAAATGTAGTAAATGTTTGAATTAGAAATAATTTTATTACATTTAGTTGAATTTATTATTAAATTAATTAGATAAATTTTGATCATAATTTTGTAATTTGTTCATTAATATCAATATTTAAAATTTTGTACACGTTTGAACTAGAATTAATTTTATTATATTTAGTTAAATTTATTATTAAACTAATTGGATTTAATTTTGATTATAATATTGTAGCTTGTTAATTAATATTGATATTTTCTTTAATTGTCTTAGATTATATTATTCGTCTATGACATGTGGTTTGGGTCGACCCTTATAATCACTACGGGATCACATTCGATAGTCGTGGACATGCATCTCCGGTTGATGGCGATCTATAGGTGATCTTCCACTTCGGATCCTATACCCGGGTCCCCTAACTCCCGAGGCCATGGACATTCTTCTCTTTCCTCCCACAAAGCTAGCACATCTATAGCCTCTATGACCATAGAGGTTCCCACATCGAGAATAAAGGTTTCAACATCGAGAATAGAGATTCCCACATCAACAATAGAGGTTCCAGGACCGACCGTAGTAGGTGCCATTTCCACTAATGTATCTACTACTTTAGAGAGCTTCTAAAGCTCATCCGAGTTGATGAATTATTTTTGTCACTCACGAATGATAGGTAATGTTTTAAAGACAATGTTATTATTTTTTATTTTAGAGTACCATTTCAATATTTACTTGATGTGTTTTTCTTTTTCTTTTTTTCTTTTTTTTTTTTTTTATGTCCAACAGCTTTAGTCCAACTAGTAAAGATTATTTTGCTAGGATAACCAAGATTTTCAAGCTACGGTTGGACATCGATGGGTCGACATGGAAGTCCATCTCGGATATCATTAAATACTTCTTTTTAGTGAATTGAGGATAATTTATTATTAATTCATTTTATTGTATCTAAAATAATAATTGATCATTAAATTAAGTAGTTAATATTACTTTTTTTTTAATTCATGCGAAATATTTTTACTAGGAACCGACCATCGAGGCGATTGCTAGAGGAGGTTGGGAGGATCTAGCAAGGAAGCGCTACTCTAACTTCATCCACAACCATGATTCGATGTCCAAATAGCCTTATTTTATTAGGTAGGAGGTCCGTGACTCATGGCATTAAGCTTTTACTAGAACTAATCGCAAGGCACGTTTAAAGTAGGCATCGTAAAATCGAGTGTCAAAGATCGCTGGTTTGGGTGTAGCCCTTCCAAGCAAACAAAGAGGTCATCTATTTGAAAGAGCACACTCGTCGCGTGATAAATCATATCTTATATTATTAATTAGATGTTTAAGAAAATTTTAATTTGTATATAATATTTTTTATGTTTCATTTTTTTCGGGAGGC